GCTTCGGCCGCCACCCGGGCAAAATTCAAAATTTCCTACCAACTGAAAATATTAGGTGTGTCCCGCGTGCTCATATGACCTTATGCAGTTGCGAGCGCCGTAAAACACTTTACAACCCCCCAAAAAAACAACAAAAAAAAAACAACAAAAAAAACAAACAATGCTTGAGTGTTCATAAAAACAGAAAATGTATATTATCAGGGCTTTTCAGTAAAACCAGACACAGAAATTTTTGTTTTCATACGGACACAAAAAGGTTTTGAGTTCCCCTCCCCCGCAAAAAAAAAGAAAGTGAGTGGTTGGCGGGTGCTCTGCTGAGGTTTACTTCTTCTTTCTTATCAAACATCTATCGTCTTTATCTCCCCTCCTTCTTCCTTGTGTTTGTCACTCTCTTATAACACCTCTAATCCTCAGCACTTTTATGACCTTATTGTGTAGCACGTGCCGTAAAACACTTACTAAAACAAATAAGACAAATAAAACTAAACTAAACTAAACTAAACACAAAAAAAGAGAAAAAAATATATTAAAAATTGCTCAACGCGAGGTAAATTGTCAGTTTGTCGGTTATCATGAATTTGACGAGAGTCTGATTTTTCCACTAGATCTAGGCCTATGACACAAACATTTCAGAACTCAGAACATCTCGGGAATCGAGGGCTCTCATGGCCTAGAAGGGTGTTCGCCTCTCCTTCAAAGGTCCCTTCTTCTCTAAAATTGTCTCATTACACTTCCTGTCTTGCTCTCTAACAATGTCCTGTCGTCTGCTTTCGTTTCCACTTTCTGCCTCCAACCCCCCCACCTCCTTTGCCTCCCCCTCTGGGCCCTTGACCCTTTCTGCAGTATTTCTATTGTTACTCTTTGGCTTCTTCCTACTGCTGTCTTTCAGCCGGGCAAAATATAAAAAAAATCCTACCAACTGAACATGTTTAATGTGTCCCATGCGCTCATATGACCGACCTTATGCAGTTGCGAGCGTCATAAAACACTTACCAAAGGAAAAACAGTTCCTTAATCTCTTATCGCACAGATCTAATCTAAAGACTTCCGTAACGAGCGACCACCCCAGCCTACGCAATAAAGAAGGGACTTTTGAGTGGGATATGTAAAAGATAGGGTTTAGTATTTGGTTGGGCAATAAAGAAAGTAAAGAATGTTAACTTAATTTGTGTTACTTTGTATTCCTATTGCCTTCCTTTGTCTCTTCACCTGGAATGGGTATTATTAGTGACATGTTAACATCTCAAAG